CTGAGCAGGAGGAGTTGCTGAATCCAAGTGGGATTGTGCAGCTCACATCGACCTGAGCAGAGAGAAAGCAGGCCCAGGAGCAGAAGTAATTGCAAAGAGAGGATGWAACTGGTAATTGGATGAATCCTCCTTCTCTGTTTGGTGGAGAGCTGGGAGAGGACTCCAAATGTCAAACTGGGACGGGGGATGGCTTGTTGGGACACAACAGCAGAGAAAACTCAGTGTTCTTCTATCTTCTTTCCATTTAGGCCTTTAAGGGGTGATGCTAGAAATAACATCTGGATTGTAAAACTCAAAACTACTCAAGTAGTGTATAGGATTCTGGGATTTTACACCCTTGCAATGCTTTCTTTGAGAGGCAGCTTTCAGAGACAGGCTGGGATTTGAAGCACAGAAAATTCTGAACACTCCTGAAAAGAGAAAACCAGGCCAGTGCAGTTGTCAGGGCATCCAAGCAGTTCTCAACAGCCCCATATGAGCTTTGCAGACTGAGCCAGCATGCGAGTGCCTGATGCAAAGCGAGTAAATATACTGAAAAAAAATCGAAAAGCATGGAAGGAAACAAAGGAGCAGACGATTTGCCCAGACAGTTGGAGAAGCACAGTCCCTTCTGACCTCCTCTGTATTCCAGGGAGCAATTCCTGAGCTGCATTCAGAGACAGAGACAGTGTTGCCAGGCCCAGAATTCCGGCAATTACTCATTGGAAATGGAAACAGCAACACAGATGCCAAAGGTATGATGCAAGTTTCATTGTCCCTGGAAGAATGGGAGTCCAGTTTGGGTTTGGGGCTGTTTGCTTGGAATTTAAAATCAGTTGTAGTTCTACGTAAATTAAATATTTAAGTCAGGGAATAAGATTATTTTTGTTAAGACAACTCCTCCTCATTCCCTGATGTTTCTCTGCAGGATTATTTTGGACCTTGAACAGGGAATTTGAGCTTATCATGCATAGAAACAGCTGAGAAACAGGAAGCAGATAGGACAGGGGGGAATGGCTTTAAACTGCCWGAGGGCAGGGTTAGATGGGATACTGGGAAGGAATTCCTGCCTTTGAGGGTGGGCAGGCCCTGGCACAGGGTGCCCAGAGAAGCTGTGGCTGYCCCTGGATCCCTGGCAGTGYCCAAGGCCRGGCTGGRCAGGGCTTGGAGCACCCTGGGACAGTGGAAGGTGTCCCTGCCCMTGGCAGGGGTGGAACAGGATGAGCTTTAAGGTCCCACCCAACCCAAATCATTCTATAATTTTAYTCTATAATTCTRTGAAGTCTGAACAACCCTCTGCAGAGCTAAGAAACACTGATAGGAGTGTTGCTATTCATAAAGCATGAAACTGGAATTGTAAACCACTTAAGAAACAGCCAAAGACCGGAAAGAAAAAACAATATTATGTTCTCCTGATAGCTCAAAGGTCAGTGGGTTATCAGAGAACCATTTGGAAGACTGAAAAACAGAGGAAGGGTAGGTCATACCTGGAAGGAGAATGGCAAAATTCAGGCCTGTACAAACACATTTTTAAATATTTCCATTCTCCACTCAGTTTAAGGATGATATTTATGGGAATAATAACTCAGGCTTTCTTCTAGCAATTGAAATTAAACAGCACTTGCTCAAGCAACGACAGTTTCTTGTCCATTTGTCACCACAAGTACAAGTAATTCCATGTGTTTAGCAGTATCTGAACACCAAGAGCTACAGTTGGATAACACTCCCTGAAAAGTTTCCCAGCATGGTCTGCAACCAGGAAAAAACTAAAACCAAATAGTCTTTACCCCAGGATCTGTGTAATTGTAAATCTAACTGCAAGAAATTCACCAGATTTGGTGAATTGTTACAAATATCCACATGCCTGTGTCATCCAATAACCTCAGGGTGAAAGGACACTTTGATAACAGAAGGGTCATTAATATAAAAAGGAGTAAAATCCCTGGATTTTGAAGCTGGACATGTTCAAGATGGAAATCTCACTYTTCTCAGCAAACAGGACTAAATAGAGCAGCTCATGGAATAATGTTGTGAATTGTCTACCAAGAAAATGCCTCCTTCACAATCTGATAATCCTACCAACAAAATATTATTCCTTTCTTATTTCCTTAATGATATTGCTTTGTTCCATACAGTCTATGAAATAAAAACATTGATCATTTTTGTGCTTTTCCCCAAAAACCCCTTGATCAGTCGAAAGCCGGGAAAGCACAAATGTTATAGCAATAAGCCCCAGGGCTGTGGAGCCGTTGGTTCTCAGGGAAGAGCAGAGCAGAGCAGAGCAGAGAGGCGGAACGAGCGCTCGGGGCTGTGCGAGCGCTGAACGCAGCGGGCACAGCCCAACCGGGCCGGGAGCAGTGCGCGGGTATCGCCAGCAGAGGGCGCTGCCGCCCGCGGAACGCGCCGGGAGCCGCGGGATCGTCCCGGAATTCCRGAATATCCTGAGCCCCGCCGGGATCATCAACCCCTGCCCTGCACAGACACCCCAAATCCACCCTGGGCATCCCTGGCAGCGCTGTCCAAACGCTCCTGGCAGCCTTTGGGCWGTGCCCMTTCCCTGGGCAGCCTGGGCAGTGTCCGGCACCCTCTGGGGGAAGAACCTTTCCCTGAGATCCATCCTAACCCTGCCCTGACACAGCTCCAGCCCTTCCCTTGGCCCCTGTCCCTGCTCTCAGGGAGCAGAGATCGGAGCTGTCTCTTTGCTGCCCCTCGAGAGGATCTGCAGCCCGACATGAGCTCTGACCCCAGACTCGTTCACCTTGAACAAACAAAGCTCCCTCAGTCGCTCCTCGCRTGGCTCCTCCAGACCCCTCACCATCCTCGTGTCCCTCCCTCCCTCTCCCACACCTTTATATCCTTCTCATATTGTGGCACCCAAAACTGCTCCCAGGAGTGGAGGTGAGGCTGCCCCAGAGCAGAGCAGAGCGGGAYAATCCCCTCCCCCGCCCCGCCTRATGCTGGGCCTGGTGCCCTCAGGACAGGGATGTTCCCTCTGGCTCCAGGGCACACAGTGACTGAGCTTCAGCTTGTCAGGACCCCCAGGTGCCTTTCCAYGGCACTGCTTTCCAGTGGCTCATTCCCCAGGCTGGAGATCCAGATGCTCTGCAGCTCATCAGGTGCAGAATGCAGCACTTGCCCATGTTAAACTCCACATGGTTGGAGCTCTCATATTTCTCTCATATTTCTCAAAATCTCTCTGCCTCCAAGGGAGTCAACAGATCCTCTCATTTCAGTGTTGTCAGCAAAATTACTGTGTCCTTTGGAGTCCTGATCCAAGTTGTTTTTGAAGACACTGAAGGGCACTGGCCCTAAACTGAGCCCTGCAGAGCCCCACCAGGGCCTTTTTACCAACCTCTGTTCCCCTGGGCACCCAAACGTGCCTGAACCCCCCCACGGCACCCAAACTGTGKGACCCACCCTGGGCAGTGCAGGAGGAAGCTGTGAAGTGATGTCAAAAACCTAAATGCTTAGAGATGCCARGAACCATGTGCTGAAAAGTAGCACCTTGGAATTCATTCACTGTGGGAAGGAGACCTACTACTTATGAAAGCTGAATGCTGCATTCCTGCACTTTGAGAGAAAATCAGCATGAAAATTACTAGAGAAACAGAGAACACTAATAAAAGACTTTTTGAAAAACTATTTATGTTGCCATCATAACCCAAGGCAAAACTGCTCCCTTTTTTTTCACTGGATAATGAAGTCTTTTGCTGCTGTTTGATGCATCTCTTTGTCATGAAGTTATTTTGCCTATTTGAATGCATTCATGTTTTTGATATTTCAGAAAGAGTACATTTGACCTAGTAGGTCAACACCATCTAGCACAGCACCACGGAAGCAGAAAAGGGAAATTGTGGGGTTTTACTCTGAGTCATAAGGTAGATTCAATGTTTCTTTAAAGAAAAAATCCAACGAACTAATGAAGTGCATTTCATTGCAAATGGAATAAGAGATTCTCAATTAAACTCTGTCATTGCAATTCAAAGAAACTGTTTGGGRTGATTTTTCCAAAATGCAGCCAGGCTTTAATGCAACTGAGAATAAAGAGCAAAGTGAGTGATAAAGGAAACCACCTGCAACATCCTTTGGTATTACTGCGTCATTAGATGAGTGAAATTAGAAATAACAACACCAAACATATTTTCCTACACATTTTTACACGGTTTCCATACACACCTCAGGGAAAATTGGTTCAAACCACAAAACAATCTGAATAGATAAAGCTCTACAGTTATGAATAGAGCACAAACCAGGAAATAAGTGCTTTATTAGTTAAATATAGAGAGGAAATGTTTAACATAAAACCCCCCCTTTTCCAGAGACACAACTTTACCTCGGGCTCCCCTGTCAAAGCCTCACAGGCAACTTTGGACTCAGAGTTCCAGGAGACCTCAAAGGAGCAGCTGAAAAAAAAATCACAAGGGGAGAAAGCTGTAAGATTTTGACAGCAGAGTCAGCATTTTGGATCAAATCCAGAGAACAAAGTGAAAATATTAGTGATTGGAAATTGAACTTTAGGGGCTCTTACAGATATGGATATGGGTATGGATATGTGTATGGATATGGGTATGGATATGGGTATGGATATGGGTATGGATATGGATATGGGTATGGATATGGATATGGGTATGGGAATGGATATGGGTATGGATATGGATATGGGTATGGATATGGATATGGATGTGGGTATGGATATGGATGTGGGTATGGATATGGGTATGGATATGGGTATGGGTATGAACCAAGACAATTTTAACAACGTGACATTCTGGATGCTGCCTGCAAGTTTCTGGGCAGCATCTGCAAGATCTAAGCGTCGTTTAGAAACACACAGGAAGGCGAGACGGATTTCACCGCGTGCACGGAAAAAAAGGGGTGCCGGGCCCCGCCGTGCGCCCCGCCCGGGCAGTTGCGGCCGCAGGAAGCCCCGGGCACCGCGCCGGGCACGAAGTCCGCCCCGGGGCGGGCCCAGGTCGGCGGATCCGCCCGGGCAGCGCCGGCCCCGCCCGGCCCCGCACCTGCCCCCGGTGCCGCCCCGCCGGAGTCGGGCCGAGCCGCCTCGGGAGCTGCTGCCGGAGCCGGCGCCCGCCATGGGCGCGGGGCGCGGGGGGATGCGCTGCATCAAAATCCTGCTCTTCATCTTCAACCTGACCTTCTGGGTGAGCGCCGTGCCGTGCCGGGCGGAGCGGGGCCGGGCGGGGCAGGGGCACCTGCTGCGGGCGCTCCGGGGTGCCGGGGGTGCCGGGGGTCGGGCGGGTGACACGGGCGCGGGTCCCTCCGGGCAGCCCTGCGGGAGCGCTGCCCGAGCTGAGGCTGCGGGAGCGCCCGGCCAGCGCTCCCGGCTGCCGCTCGCTCCTCTGGAGATACAGCTGTGCCTGGGAAAGCAGCGGCGTGGTGTAAGATGACATTGCTGAGCAGAGACAGCATCTGTCTAAACCGATCATTTAAAGTAGCGACCATTTCCCCGGCAACCGCGCGGCTGCGGGAGGAAGCTCTGAGAGGTTCCCCCAGTGCAGTGCATCGAGCAGATGCATTTTACAGCATCGCGGTGATTTTACTAATGTCATTTCAAATAGGGAGCCAACAACTGCTCCAAGTTCATCCTAAGACAAAGTCCTCGCATCACCCCCGAGAGATTTAGGGAATGCTGTGTCCATTCTCCTCTCATTGCACCTTTTTCAATAGGCTCACAGTTTCACAGCACAGCTGAATTCATGCTTTCTCTTCTTTCACTTTCCCTCGTGTACTATTCTCCCTTCAGCTTTCCAGAAAACAATCAGCAATGTTATCTTCTTAAATGTCTTTTTCTTCTGATTCACTGGGGTCTTTTTAAAAGAAGTCACAAAGTCATCCTGTTTAGCCTCTGTGGACCAAGCAGTTTTGGGCTTTTGTCTCCTTTATGCTTGAAGCACAGTTAAACCAAAGGCCATTCCCTCGTGGTGACAGCGCTGCGCGCTCCGGGGACACAGTGCTGCTGTGAGGAGCTGGAGGGGCAGAGTGATGCTGCCCAGCTGCAGCTGCARGGCAGCAGAAGGACAAAGCTTTGTGTTATTTGTTTCTCAAAGTGACAAGTACTGTGTTTTGTTATCTGCCTTTTCTCTGAGATGGAAGGAACCATCTCCTCAGCTGGCTGGGACATTCATCCCGGACTGCCAGGGCATTGCACAGCCTGGAGAGGCCCTGGCAGCCCAAGGCTGCCAGCAGGGAGGTCCCCATRCTGTGACAGGGTGGCAGGGGACCCTCACCCTCTGCCAGGACACTTCTGTGAGGAGAGCCATGATCCCAAGCTCTCCAGCTGTACCATCGCCTGCTCTCTTGGCTTGTGGAGCTGTGCCAACGGATCCAGTACCAGGGAATGCAGGACAGGTTAGAGGAGCACCGTGCCAGGCTGCACATGTGAGCCTTCCCAGCTCCTGCAGGTGCCACAGACTGAGGCTCTGG